GGGAAATGAAGTGTCAAAGACAAGGCAGATTTGAAATAGAAATATGTAATGTCCAAAAGGAGAACATAACAGAAAGTAACGGATTCAAAACAAACACAGTACCAAAGAGGAAAGGGAGAGAAACTTTGTATCATCGGATGCTCAGAAAAAAAGGAAGGCAGCTCTTTTAGGATCACACAGATATAAAGCTTTGCAAGGAAACTTACAGTACAGTGGTACCTCGGGTTAAGTACTTAATTCGTTCCGGAGGTCTGTTCTTAACCTGAAACTGTGCTTAACCTGAAGCACCACTTTAGCTAATGGGGCCTCCTGCTGCCGCCGCGCTTCCAGAGCCCGATTTCTGTTCTTATCCTGAAGCAAAGTTCTTAACCTGAAGCACTATTTCTGGGTTAGCGGAGTGTGTAACCTGAAGCATATGTAACCTGAAGCATATCTAACCCAAGGTACCACTGTACAGTGGATGCTCAGGTTGCGAACGTGATCTGTGCAGGAAGCATGTTCGCAACTCGCAGTGCCCGCAACCCACAGCGCCGTGTCTGCGCAAACACGGGTTGCCATTCGGCGCTTCTGTGCATGCGCAAAGCGCGATTTAGCTCTTCTGCGCATGCACAAGTGCCGAAACCCAGAAGTAACCCGTTCCAGTACTTCCGGTTCAGCATGGTGTGCAACCTGAAATCGTGCAACCCAAAGTGTCTGTAACCCGAGGTATGACTGTACAGTGAATTCAGATTATCACAAAGTTTAGACAAGCAATATGTCCTCCTTTATACTTCTATTGGTTGAGAGTATAAAAACCCTCCTTCTGATTGAAGGTCTGAGCACTTGGTTATTTCTGAATTCCTTCAGCGAGTTGAGCCCAGCTCCAAAAGCTTTTCAGGCCCTTTGCATCAGATTGGCAGGGCGTGACTTTAAATACATGTGTCTCTTAAGGAAAAAAAAAAACCATTGCCACCCAGGTTCCTAGGACTGAATGCACCCTTGAAGCTGGCCAGAGTTGCAAGCTCTTGGCCACCCTGCAAATCCTCCTGTCAGTATGGGAGGGATCGAGTTACTTCCCTCCCCACCCCCACCCCCAGCAAGAAGATGAGCAGGATCAACAGTCGGCTTGCTTGGAACATCCTTTCCAACTCCACAGATGTACATATAAGGCAATGGCACACTGGGTGCCCCCACCCTGGAGCGGGCTGGCCGGCATCGCTCCCTTGCCTCACCACTTTGACCGCACGGCCGGGCTGCTGACATCTTAGAGTTAATGAAACACCTCTGCTTTCAATATAAAGTAAGAGGCGAAAGGGTGGGGCGGGAGGCGAAAATATGGTCCGCATATGCTTTCTCTCTCTTCCGCTTGGTTACATGCCACCAACTTCCGACAGGGCTCTGTCTAGACCACCGTTTGCTTCCAGAAGTCAAGAGAAGAAGCATAACCAAAAATCAGTCCTCTTCCCCCCGTCTTCTCCAGGTCTCAGCTAATGTTCAGAGACCTTTCCTAGAAAGCTGACTTCCTACCAATCTTGAGGGTTTCCTGCATTCTCTTCATCTCTGGGCCAATTCCTTTGAAAATGTGGGAATGTGGGAATCCGTGGCAGGGAGAGGGAGGACTTTCTACATCAGAATGCAAACTCTAGGAAGTTTCTGCAGAAGCAGAGAGTTGCTAGGAGGAGCAGGGATACAGTGGACACTCGGGTTGCGAACGTGATCCATGTGGGATCCATGATCCATGTGGGATGCACATTCGCGACCCGCAGCATTCACAACCCACATCTGCGCATGTGCGGGTTGCGATTCGGCACTTCTGCACATGCGCAAAGCGTGATTTAGTGCTTCTGCACATGTGCGACCGCCGAAACCTGGAAGTAACCCGTACAGTGGTACCTCAGGTTACAGACGCTTCAGGTTACAGACTCCGCTAACCCAGAAATAGTACCTTGGGTTAAGAACTTTGCTTCAGGATGAGAACAGAAATCATGCAGCAGCAACATGGCGGCAGCAGGAAGCCCCATTAGCTAAAGTGGTCCTTCAGGTTAAGAACAGTTTCAGGTTAAGAACGGACCTCTGGAACGAATTAAGTTCTTAACCCAAGGTACCACTGTACTCAGCTCTTGAGTTCAAGAGGCCTTCTGCTAGGATTCTTACTTCCTCAGAATAGATAGTATTTCACCCCCAGTATGAAATCATCCTAGGTAGCTTTCTAGGGAAGAGAAACAGAAACTAGCTCCCACTCACCCATTCTCTTGCACTATGGAGCCTAGAGGCTCCAAAACACTAAACACATGAACACTTGCACTTTGCTGCCACTGCAGTCTCTCCTCCAGGCACTAAGGAAATAGGCCTGGAGCAAAAGAGATGCTTCGGATGACCCATGCCATAGGAACCACCATGGAAGAACTGATCTGGAGGAGGAGGAACCTTTCCAAGGCCATGCAAGTCTGAATCCGCTCCCCCTCCCAGCCACCGGCTCCTCCCAGATCCCATCCACCCCTCCTTCACACCCAGACACCCTCTCACACCCCCTACACCAAAAGCCATCCACCCCGTGCAAAGGAAAACCTCACTGCTGCAGCTCTGATGGGGTTTTCCTACAAAGGCTGCTCTCCCTTCTTTCCCCCCTGCTTCGGTTTGGAAGGGGGAGTCTTGGATTCCGTGGTGGGGGAGGGAAGGGCATGGGTGGGGGGTGAGGACTTGGGTTTGTTTTCTTCCCTGCTGGGGAGGTCTGGGCGCTCTAACAGACTGGCAAAGTTGACAGGGTTTTTCCACCCTCCACAAACAGGTCCAAACTCAATCTGTTGCCCCCAACACATCCAGATATAGAGAAGGCACACACAAAAAGCCAGTTCGCATGCGAAATCATCGCAGCAATGCGAACTAGATTTCCTAAACCACAACTTTAGTGGATGGCCGAGATACAATTTTGGGGAGGTTGCAATGTTCCAGGGGTTGAGAGAGAAACCCCATTCAAACAACAAGGAAAGAAATTCTTCTCTTCTCTCCATCTTCTGGACACAACATAACCTGTATGGTGTTTCTACAATTTCCCAAATACATCACAACCCTGCGTTACAAAGGAGCCATCTCTCCACCAAACACAAAAGTATCTATTCCAGCTTATTACTTGATATCAAGCCTCACAGCATTTGCTATCAGGCTATTTCAACCTTTTATTTATTTATATTTTTTTCAAAGCACGCAGCATTCTGTTGCTGTTTGCAAAAGAAAAGGCATTAGAAGAGGAAAGAGAGGAAACCAGAGGCTAAGATCACCTCCTGCCCTCGCCCCCACATGTGCTACACAAGCTCTTTCGCTTTCTTAATGCCTTCAACCTCCAGCATTTTCTCTCCTCTCTTGCAAAATAAATAAATAGCTTTGGAAGGAAAAAGCACAGCAAAGTGTTTGCAGGAATCAGAAGCAGAGCTCGGGGATTTGGAGGGGAAGACGCAGACACTGTGTTTTCGGTGTGTGTTGTTAAAAAAAACACAGCAACTAAGGCATGGGAGGGTAGCTGAAGGGTAATCCTGGATTTATTAGTAGCCGATCTATTAACGAGGTTGACTCTGACACAAACAGGGAAGGGGGCGGGAGGGAGAGAAAAGAAAACCTGCATTGTTAATTATCCAGCCCCTGCTACACGGACAAACACACAGAGCGAGCAGGGCTTGTTTATGCGCCGCAAACCGTAGCAGTTGCCAGAGTGTCCTTTTGCCAATGTCAAAATAGCACTCGAAGAGCCTCGCAAAAGGCTTGGCCGGAGAAGGGGTGGGGGTTGGGAGCCAAAGTATAACGCAAACCGCGCAAACATGAAATGGTGTGGCCGTAGTGCACTGTGCAATACCCCCAAATTCTGATGCATGCTCGCTCTTTCTTTCTCTCTCTCTTTTTTAAAAAAAGCAGCGCTGGCATCTCATTCTGCTCCACAGCCACACTTTCCTGGCGCGAAGCTCGTTACTCTCGCAAGATCCACGCTGGAAGCTGCAAGCGAGAGGGAATACCGTCTTGCCACCCGCTCCGCACACCTCAGACACACCAAGTCTGCCACCTCCCAGCCAACCACCAGCAAAACCCCATAAGCAGGCAGGTTACTACGGGTAGGTGGGTCGTAGAGGAAGGAATTTAACAGCCCAGTCCTATACGCATGCTTACTCTGGGATAAGTCCCAGGCCTGCCCCTTTGCAACCCGATCCTGGCTCCTGTTTTGCTCGCAGGTCAGCCTACTCGCGAGCAAGTGCCCTGCAGGCCGTGCGCTAGCCTTGCTTACTCCCAAGTAAGCCTGCAACAGCCCTGCAGCCGGATCCCTCCCGCAGGAAGTCCTGCTGCGTCCTCGGCACCCAAGTAAAGCGCGCGGGGAAATTGACAGCCGCGCAAGCGCCACGAGCTGGGCAGCTTTCCTCGGCAGTAAACCGACTGGATCGGGGCCTGCTCCCAAGCCAGCGCCTGCAGGGGCCCGATCCGACGCCTGTTCTCTCTAAATTCAGCAGAGGGTGGTGGTGGTGGGCGGGGGACTCACTGCCATCCCAAGTCACAGCGAGCTAGCTTAAGGGAAAGGAGGGGAGTCTGCTCCGCAGGCTTACCTGGGAGTAAGCCCCCTTGAGCACTGCCTGTGCCTGGGGTGACTGGTTGGGGGCTTACTTCCGAGTAAACACGCCTAGCCTCGGGCCGCATGCGCCCTTGGGCAAACTCCTTCCAGCACCCAAATCACGACCCCCCACTTTCCCTCGCACCCCTTAAAAAAACCAAAAGCACATCAAACCCACGCAGATCCGCAACTAATATCTGCATATAATACTCACAGGTTATTGCAATACGAGTGACTTTTGAGCAACAAACGCAGCGCCAAGAAGCAGCGGGGAAATCCCCCTTTTCCCGCGCCTCCAAAAAAAGAGCTCAACTTTTCGTCCTCCTGGCACCCATCCGCCAGCCTTCTGGAACCCCCTACAGACACCCCCCTCCTCCCAAAAAGCTCCCCAGCCCTCCCCCCAAGCACCCACCCATAGCTCATGAGGACTCACCCATTATCTTCTCGGAAAGCCAAGCGCCCGGCTTCGCTAAGCTCCCCAAAGTCCTTCGTGGGAGCAACGCGCGCCTTGCCTCTCCTTTCTCCGCGCTTCGCGAGGATTCTTCTCAGCCGACCGCGATGCGTGTAGAGGGGAGGTTGGGGAGGCGTGTGAACGGAGTAGGGAGGGGCGGGTTTCCAGATCCCGACCCCTAAGTCCCTTTTTTCCACCCCTCCAAAAAAATTGTTTTTTTAAAAAATAAATAAATAAAAGCAAAGCACCCTTCCCCGCCCCCTAAGGTATTATTGCTCCTTCGGCTGCCGCTCCTGTTTGGCGATTTTGGCGCAGGGGCGCCATGGCGCGCGGGGAACTGTCAGATGGGGGGGCGGGAGGGGGAGGCGGAGGGGCGGGTTCGCGGGGGCTTCTCGGTGGAGACCCCCACTCAGGAAAGAGGGAGGGAGGAGAGGGAAGGAAGGAAGGAGGGCGGGCGAGAAAAAGGAAAGGGAGACGATTGCACACGGTCGAGAAACAAGGGAGATGGAAACAGATTTTCTCCTCTCTCTCTTTTTTTCCTCCCAAGGAGGTGAAAAATGGCGCCTCTCGAACAATTTCTCTTTTTTTCAAAACAAATCACGCATGCAAAAACAAAAAAAGATATATATATATATATTTTAAAAAGCCGAGGGAGGTTAAAAAAATTGCTACGGGCTTTTTTTAAAAAGGGGGGTGGCAGTGGAGGGGAGGAAAGAAAAGAAGGAGAAAGACTGGGGAGGGGAGGAGAAAGGGAGAGGGAAGGAATTGCTCTTCTCGTTGCGAAGAAGGGAAATCAATGCACTGGCGTAAAATCCCCGTCGACGCGAGGCGAGCTGCCGCTTGGGGTCCTCCCCCCGCTCTCTTTCTCTCTCCGGTGGGTCCGCGGGAGGGCAAATCCGGGGGCGCGAGCGGGACCCCAGCCTGCGCCCGGCTGCTCCCGCTCGCGGCTCCAAGGGCGACCTGCCTGGCTCCCTTTCGCTCGCTTCCTCTCGCGCTCTGGCTCGGCGAGCCCTCGAGGGCTGCTGGAGAAAGGGTTTCTGCCGATCACCGCAGTTTCATCCGAGCCGGAGAGGAGAAGCCTGCGCCGCCGCCGCCGCCGACACTGTCGCCTCCTCGGTGCGTCGTTGCTGCTGCTGCTGCTGCTGCCGCCGCCGCCGCCGCCGGTGGCTTGTGCAGGTCTCTGGCTTGCTCCATAGCTCCCCCCTCCGTCGCTTTTCCCTTCCCTTCCAGCGCCCCCGGTGGCCAAGCGCGGGAAAGGAGCGTAGAGGGAGCAAGAGAGAGAATCATAGAATCAAAGAACGGTCAGAAGGGACCCATGAGGATCATCTTGTCCAGCCCATTGCGATGCAAGAATATGCAGGTGTCCCATAAGGGAATCGAACCTGCAACCTTGGTGTTATCCACACGGTGTTCTAACCTACTGAGCCATAACACACACACATTTATTCGATTTATATATTGCTCTTAATCTGAAGATCCCGGGGCACTGTACAACATTAAAAACACAATTTACATAGCATAATAACAAAAACACCCAATATAATAATAATAATAATAATAATAATAATAATAATAATAATAATAATTTATTTGTACCCAGCCACTCTGGGCTGCTTCCAACAAAGATTAAAAATACATCAAAATGTCACACATTAAAAACTTCCCTGAACAGGGCTGCCTTCAGATGTTTTCTAAATGTCAGGTAGTTGTTTATCTCTTTGACATCTGATGGGAGGGTGATCCACAGGGCGGGCGCCACTACCAAGAAGGCCCTCTGCCTGGTTCCCTGTAACTTGGCTTCTCACAGTGAGGGAACTGCCAAAAGGCCCTTGACGCTGGACTTCAGTGTCCGGGCAGAACAATGGGGGTGGAGATAGTCTTTCAGGTATACTGGGCCGAGGCCGTTTAGGGCTTTAAAGGTCAACACCAACACTTTGAATTGTGCTCGGAAACGTACTGGGAGCCAATGTAGGTCTTTCAAGACCGGTGTTATATGGTCTCGGCGGCCACTCCCAGTCACCAGTCTAGCTGCCGCATTCTGGATTAATTCCAGTTTCCACGTCACCTTCAAAGGTAGCCCCACATAGAGCGCATTGCAGTAGTCCAAGCGGGAGATAACTAGAGCATGCACCACTCTGGCAAGACAGTCCAGGGTCTCAGTCTGCATACCAGGTGGAGCTAGTAAACAGCTGCCCTGGACACAGAATTAACCTGTGCCTCCTGGGACAGCTGTGAGTCCAAAATTACTCCCAGGCTGTGCACCTGGTCCTTCAGGGGCACAGTTACCCCATTCTAGTAGTATTCTTGATGGTACAGTATCATAGAATCCTCTAGTCCAACCCCCTGCAATGCAGGAAGGAATCTCAGCTGAAGCATCCATGGCAGATGGCCATCCAACCTCTGCTTAAAAACCTCCAAGGAAGGAGAGTTCAGAACCTCCCAAGGGAGTCCTTTCCTCAGTCGAACAGCTCTTACTGTCAGAAAGTTCTTCCTGATGTTTAACCGTAATCTCCTTTCTTGTAACTTGAAACACCCTGGGGAGTTCACTTCGGTGCTGCTAAGGCACAGATTTGACTTCACCCCCGATGGCGCACTCCATTGTCTCTCAAGGCAGACGGGTGCAGCAACAACAACACACTGGATCACCATCGTTCAATTTGTATGCCACCCTCCCACAGTTAAAACTATGCACAAGGTGGCTTAGAACAGGGCAAGGTTTACATCATCGCAAACACAGCGCAAGTCATCCTCAACAGTACCTAAAACACATCAAAAAGTACAGCGCCAAACTGAAACAATTTCCACACAAATCACCATAAGGTCTGAAAATAAAGATGCAAAAGCAACAGCAGCAAAAATAACCCCACAACACCCACCCCAAGGGTCTGGTCAGCAGCCTCAGCTTTTGTAGCTGGAGTCAGTCCTGGTCCCGTCTTCCCAGGTCAGGTAGGAAAAGGCCAGCAAAGCTGAGAGCAGGTCTTCCAGGACTCACAGCCAAGTTGGTCTTGGTTCTCTTAAATGCCAAGGAGTTTTCTCTGAAAGAAGCAGGTAAAGGTAAAGGGACCCCTGACCATTAGGTCCGGTCGTGGCCAACTCTGGGGTTGCGGCACTCATCTCGCTTTATTGGCCAAGGGAGCCAGCGTGCAGCTTCCGGGTCATGTGGCCAGCATGACTAAGCCACTTCTGGCGAACCAGAGCAGTGCACGGTAACGCTGTTTACCTTCCCGCTGGAGCGCTACCTATTTATCTCCTTGCATTTTGACATGCTTTGAACTGCTAGGTTGGCAGGAGCAGGGACCGAGCAACGGGAGCTCACCCTGTCATGGGGATTCGAACCGCTGACCTTCTGAGTGGCAAGCCCTAGACTCTGTGGTTTAACCCACAGCATTAAAAAAACACACCAACACTCCTTGTGAACCACTTCCCCTTTCTTCCTGTGCAAGGCAGTCCTGCCCTCTGGCTGCTCCTCAGAGTCAGCAGATCACACAAGACTTGGCCTCAGCAGTAGCATCCTCTCCTCTTCCTCCTCACCTGGTCTCCAGCAGCCACTACAAGCTGCCCAAGGGAGGAGGCCAGCAGTAGTGGCCCTGGAGAGGCCAAGGAGTGGCAATAGGATATTATGTTGCAGTTGTCACAGCCACCACAGTTCAGGATAAGTGCTGCCTCATCCTCCTCTCCAAGGTCAGTGGTAGCAGCACTGGCAGGGGAAATAGGGTCAAATCAGAAGCTGGGATGGTAATTCTGGGACTGTCCCTGGAAAACAGGGACGCTTGGAGGGTATGTGAGACCAGGGATGGTCTTGCTGGACTCCATAAGCAATGGTCCGGGAGGATGGAAGTTGTCTTAAACACTACACAACATCTAGAGGGCCACAGATTGCCTGTTCCTTCCATAAATGATAAGCTAGGTGGACCCACATTGTACATTCATTTGTGACATGCTGGTTGATCCAGATGGATGGCCCCTAGCACAAATAAAGCATGGCTCTTCTGCAAGAAGCTACGAGCACAGCTGCAGTTCGTCTTCTACACTGTCAGGGAATGTTTCACTTTTCCTATAGATTCATCCTCCTATGGTCCCTGCACATCAGTGGGTGTTACAGGCCTGCTGTGGGCAAGTCTGGAGATGGTACATGTCACCCGAAAGGCTATTTTAAAATATATAATAAATCTGGATGATTTTTTTTTAAAAAATCATTTATTTATTTAGTGCTAAGTGCTTATTCATTTAAATATGATTTCCCATTGCAACCCATGAAATGTCAAAAAACAAAGTGTTTTAGTGTTTGTTTTGGATTGGAAGTGTTTAATTAGGGGGAAAAACACCTTGCTAAAATGGTGGTGACTGGGAAAAGTTTGGGTTTTTTTTAAGTGTTATAACACTTTCATTTAAGCAGTATTTTGCTAATATTTTCACATTTTGGGGGGAAAATGGATCTCAAGTGTAGATTGGAAGTGTTTAATGGGGGGGGGCAATTTGCTGAAATGGCAATGACAAGAACCAGCATTATAATATAACACACTTTCATTTATGCAGAATTTTACTAAGATTTTACGATCTTTTTAGTATATCTAGAAAATATCCGGAAAAACGTTTAGCACTAATTATACTAAGATATAAGGCCACATACGGCTTAGTATCAGGTTTTCCAAATATCACGACAGGAAAGGTTCTTTTTCAAGCCACACAAATTTCTAGAAGTGACTTGGAGCAGGGCTTTGAATGGGGCTGCCCCTGTTCAGTGGAACAGTAACCCTGTCTGAGATGCAACAGGTGCCCAGTATCTTTCAGGAAACAACTGAAGACATTTTTCTTTTGACAAGCTTCTCCAGCCAGATGAAAAGGTCTCTGCCTTAGATATAAATTTTGCATTGTACTGCTTTATAACTACTTTCAGCACTTTTAAAGACGTGTTTGTAAACCACCTTGGCAAACATGTATAATATGATTCATAACTCAATAAACAATAATTACAATGATCATTAAAAGATCAACTAGGCAATAGTAATGGGACTGCAAAATTGTGCCTACCATTAAGGTTATCGTGAACATGAGAGGTTTGTCTGCTTGGACCATCACTGCCCACATCCAAACCAAGTCTCTTGAAAAAGATGGGAAAGTAGAATCAGGGTTCTGCATCCATTGCAGATGACCATCCAACCTCTACTTGAAAACCTCCAAAGAAGGAGAGTCCACCATCTCCTGAGGGAGTCCGTTCCACTATTGAGCAGCTCTTACCATCAGGAAGTTTTTCCTGATGTTTAGTCAGTATCTCATTTCTTGTGTAACTTGAAACCATTAGTTCTGTTCCTACCTGCCCCCCAGAGCAGGAGAAAACAAGCTTGTTCTATCTTCCATAC